AGAGAGAGAGAGAGAGGGAGAGAGGGTAAAAGTTAAATTAATAATTTCAAGTTGTGATAGAGATGACGGAAGCGGAGATATAATGTTTACGTTATTAGCCGCAATAGAATCAGCGGATTAAGACGTAAATAAAATTACATATTTGTTCGCGTAATTATTTTTATTAGAATCGTGGTGCACGAACGATTCGCCACAATCAGTACCGAGTAGCAAGTAGCGCATTTCGATCTCCTCGTATATTTCTAACTTGCTGCACGAGTCACAGAGCAGTTGCAATAATATTTTTACCTGGTTTTGCCACTCAGTGACGCGACAGAGTGACCTGTGTAGACGTGACTTTCAAGGTTCATTCGAAATACGATAACGCGATATCGTCGCATGTTGCGATTGCGACATCTAACGGCCGAATTTCAGGATAAACGATAAACAATAATGCTGTCCTACAAATTCGAAAAAAATCTTACCGTGAGATACGACACTCTCGCGTATTTTTGTTCCTACTGAGGCAAGCAGCCCTCTAGGATATTTTGCTGCATTTGTCAAAGGAAGAGAGAAAATTGAACGTGAAGCTAGTCAGCTGCTGAAGCCATCATATATTTTTCTCCGTTTTTGTAGAACGTTCTATACAAAGTGGTTCGATGATTAATTCAGATATCGCAGAGCGAGGAGATATTAATTGATATTGAAATCTTTTGTCGAATTAGTGCGGATCAGCTGATACGTAAACGACGCAGTAACGCACGCTAAAACGAAATGAAACCGTTCAACGTATACAAAACCATTCAAGTTTTTTTACGAGTTACGGAAATATCGCTGTCAATTATCTAAACACGTTCATTAAGTCGCACAAGTCTTATGTCGCCTTAACATGAATATTTTAGACGAATAATCACCCATTCGCACGTATTCCTAAATTAGAGGGTAACTCTAAATCACCCGGGGCTGCCACTAATTGTAAGCACCGACTAATCCAACAATCATATCCGTCTGTCATTTACTGAACGCGGATAAAGCGACGTGATGGATTCGATAACTTCGCATCCTGTATTAATTGCTGGCGCAACTTCGTTCGAGTAATCCGCCTGCATTGTTCCCTTAACCAACTCAAATCCTGCGTGTTCTCGTTACCGATGTAGAATTTTGCGAAAATAATACTTGCGATCTTCTTTACGCTGTCTGTCAAATTTACCACGAAACTTACGGTAAATATATTTATTGGCAACGTCCGAATTATCACAAGTAATAGTTTTATACTTATGTATATACATACACAGTTTTTAAATAATTTGCACACTTTTTATCGAGTGAAGTTACGATGCTTAAAATTGTCAAAATTAAAAATCCCTGCTGATGCGCAATAAAAATTACTCTTATCAGATAATGTTCTCTTAATTTGATATAAATTCTTTGTTTCATGTTTTACAAATGTCATATTTTGTACTGTCACTTCGGCTCCTGCCACAACCGATTACTTAAATGTCGGTTTTCAATTCTGACAACTTGAAGCATTGCAATTTCATCGTTCAGTAAAAGGGTGACAACCATTTAGCGGCCAAATGTGCATTAAACTTATCATAAACCGTCATAATTATCATAAACAGTTGTACAGGGTGTAATTATTTCGCACGATATTCCTGGCTAACGAAAAGTCGATAAATGCACGTCTTACGCGAACTACATCCGACAATTTGCAATCTCGTGCTCGCGAAGAAAAGTGCACGTCGTAAAAAAAAAAGAAAAAAAATAGGTAATACCGCGCGTACCTCCGCGCAACATCTCATCGAGTCCTACGCTCGCGATCTGCAACAAAGTGACGCGGGTTACGATCCTTTAAAGTCACGCGCCGAAGGAGATCGCCTCGGCGAGAGAGCTTCTTGAATGAGGGACAAAAAAGGGATGATCTCTCCAGCTACGACGAGTCGCGCGCGCGCAGAAAAAGCGCGGAAGAGCGGAAGCGCGGAAGAGTGGACGCGGACCGGACGTGGCTCGAGAGACCGGTGCTGCGAAAATTCGCGCGGATTCGAGATCGACAGGGCGAATCGAGATTTTACGAGCGGTTCTCGCCCTGTGAGCGAATGGCTCGCTCGACCACGTACGTCGATGTCGGGAACGTGTTCCCGCGGTGGGTGTGCGGTGTGCAACGCAGAATATTTGCGACAGGCGATAGCAGGGCATGATCGGCCACCGAGATAGTCATCTATCTGACCGTACAGACTGCTGCCGCACATTCTCATGGCATCAACGTGTGGGCACATACGCGCGTCCGCGCGCACGAGCGTGTGTGCGAACGTGCATATGTGTGTGTGTGTATGTGTGTACGCGTGAGCGCCCGCAGTTTCTGGGACGTTCTCATTGCAATGTGGTCATTGTTTCAGTGCCGCCGGATATCCTGGACTATCCCACCAGCACGGACATGGTGGTGCGAGAGGGTAGCAACGTGACGCTACGGTGCGCGGCGACAGGAACACCGGAGCCGACGGTCACGTGGCGTCGCGAGGCGGGCGGCACGATCAGCCTGTCGAACTGGCACGAGGGTACGTACTCGAATATACGAGTTACTACGCGCCGTTTCGTCCTTACTCGGATGTCGATTGTCGCGTTCCGTCGCAATGACCGCCAGCTGCTGCCCGCGGGGAGATCGAGTCCTACGTATACCGATTTTGCCCTGATCCTCCGCGCGCCTCCTCCTTTCAACCCCGTGTCGTTGTCTCGCATCGTTTCGCGTATATTGGACCTCTAACCCGCTCGAAGAGCGCCTGCTGCGAGGACTTTTTCCCTCGTTCGGCCCGAAACAGAGTGGCAGAAAGCCCGCCACCTCGTCTCGCCCTGATTGCGCGAGACGTTTATTGTGTTCCCGGCCGGATCGCTGAATGAGTTTTGATGGAAGGCGCTAAATCGATACGAGTGCGCTTTTATTCCAACACGACGCGGTCAACGTGGACTCGTCGCGGAAGCATCGCGGAAATTGTATTTGATAATTTGACGGAATGCGAGTCTTGAGAGTGACGTGGGCGAAATAAATTTACTCGTTGAAAGCAGCCGGAGCGAGCAAACCTTTGCGAACCTTTGAGTCGGTTTCAAGTTTGAGATTTACGGGAGTAACATCGTGGCTTTTCGATTGAGTTTGATTTCGCTATCTATCCGTAGCAACGACGAATGCTCGAATGCCAGGCGGATTTTGCCGGGGAAGTCGACAAAGTTGTTTGCCAGTAAACTGAAAGAACCTCAAGCTCCAGCTCTATCACGTTTTTCATAATTCTTTGTTGCCTTGCTAAACTCACTGCACTCTTTCTCCCTCTTTACCTCCTCTCAGGAATCTGTTGACTCCTTCTTCTCGTCTTTACAGATGTGAAACCTTTCAATCGACGTTTCCTTATTTCTCCGACGATATAACATTCAACGGTAATTTACTCCCTCGCTATCCTTCCGTACTCCACGGACTCCCATAACGGCGAGAGAGTTTAACGATTCGTTACACAGAACGGTTTCTTTCCTGATCTTATTATCAGCGAACTGCCGCTGGCGCGATGTCTATCGAAATAAAATCGCCGGGGATTTTACAATACAAACTCATTTATTTAATCCATTCGTCGAGAAATTAATTTTGATTACAATTCCGAACAAATCTCCGTCGTCGCGCTATCCCCGAGTAAAGTTCAGCGGCAACTAGTAATCAACATATAATTCAATTTCTTAATTGTTGCAGAAAGTATGCGTTCGCGAAGGAATATTCCAGTCGCAGTCGATGCACGGCGATTTCTTTCGTGAGAAGAAAGAAATACGTCTTCGCGTTAACAATTTTATATCCTAGAGCAACCTGCTTGCGCGTACTTAAGGCGATGCAAACGCAGTTTCGTAGCTTTTCTAACTGGATGTATCAAATTGAATATGCTTTTACAAAGTGAAAATATAAACGTTAATGAATAACTGATTCTAAACAGTTGCATGAAATCAACAAAAAACTTTTTATAATTGGTCGGTAAATAAAAAATGTTTTGTTGATTTTGTGCAACTGTCTAGTCATTCATTAATGTTTGTATCTTCACTCTGTAAAAGCATTTTCAATTTGATGCATCCGATTGGAGAAAAAGACAAAACTTCGAAACCACGTCGGTATCCAACATTGCCTCAAAGCGTTTTCAGAGTTCGTCACTCGATTGTGTCTGTGTATGCAAAAGATTAATCAAAATAACAACGATATTCTGCGAGTCAATTGAATTCGATATACAGGAATGTCTCTATCTTCCAAAATCACTAACGCCCCCAACACAGATTCGCTGTCCTGGCAATTCAATCACTCCACCCGCTTTCGGTTTCCGGCTTCATTCAATGGCGTTCCCCGTTTTTCGCGCCGCCCGTGCCAGGATTGTTCAGATCTTTCGCTGACTAATTGCACAAGCAAGTGTCGGGGACATTCTCGATTGTACATCAGGCAGGTAGCTAAAGTACCGCTTTAGTTTCTCTCTTTCTCGGCCTGGCGGGCTCTTCTCCCAATCCCCCGACCCTCCTAGTCCCTCTTGCGCCCCCATTTCTGTCCCTTTTTCGCCGAGTCGGTACCGAGTTTCGTGCCACTGGTACACAGAGCAACGGGCTGTGCGGTGCACGACACACTCGTAAAGTATTTTCGTCCTTTCGCGCGAGACTGTGCCAAGGGGCGTGAAGGGACGTACGTCTCACGTGATGGTGTTACAAGACATCACGGCAACCGTGCTTTCCGGTGATTTATTCACCGGACGCAACTCTTCTTTCTCGTGGCCGATTTTAAGGAATCGCTTTAAGCATTTGTCGCGTCCCGGTATTCCTCTATCCGTCTCCCCGTCTCGTGCATCCCTCGCGTTCTATGGGAAAGCTCGGTCGCGATTCCATTAGGCGATAAGTACCGGAAAATAGAGTATTCCATCGCGCAGCTGTGCGCCATCACTCTTAAGATCCTCGACCCGCGCACTTCGTTTGACTCCCGGTAATAGTCGGGCGGACGAAAAAGAGGTGCCTCTCCCTCCATTCTTTTATTCTTATATGGTAATCGGCACTAAGAGATTTCGCTTGTGTCGCAGGCGATAAAAGTTTGATGCGCGCATTTATCTCGAAAGTCTCAACAGGTGCGCTCGAGTAGACTTGCTCTCTAAATTTATCGCGGAAGAACGTTATTACATGAGTGATACAAGGGAGTGGAAGGCCGATTAGGGCTAATCGAAACTCTTAAATAAATGGGCCAAAAAGTTTGCTCGATGATAAAATTGACGCCCGTTATAAAATCATTAAGGAATGGTGTATTTTCATGTAATAATTATTACGAAATTATTAGAATCAATACGTAATTTTATTATTAAAAATTTACCGCTTCTCTCATTTATTCAAAAGTTTTGATTACTGTATACTTCGACCTATATCAAAATTTTATCAAAATACGATATTGGAATTAAAATTACTTTAATTCCGCCTCTTTTAATAATTTGTGTACTCTCATGTTGTCGCGCAAGCCACGCGACGTATTTTTAACTTTTGATAGCCATCCTTGTGTTTACATGGGTAGATCTGTACGCGCGAAGAAACTAGGCAAATTATGTATGATAAACAATCTGTATATTAATATGCTAGATTGTCAATTTAACTCTGTCGCGCACTCATCACGCGGAACTAATTGTAATTTCAATACACGAATCGATTAGCACGATTAATTATATAATATCGAAATTAAGGAAATATACATTTTAATTAAACTTGAAATCAATTGTTCCCCAATTTCAAGCTAGTCAACCGTGTTGCAGTGCGTGAAACGGGAATTATCGGAAAACATCAGAGAGCAAATATTAGTTTACGACAGATGAAATTGCAACTGACATAATGAGTGCTACTCTCTTTGTTCACTTTTGCAGAATATTAATATTTATATTGCGTTTAGTGTATTTAGCGCGATTTTCGCGGCGGGAATAAAATCGCGTCGCATAATAGCAACGAATCGACATTTTAATTATTCATTTATTTTTCTGTTGTTAATAACTATGTCGCGAAATATTTTAATTGCTTTACCGCATTCCCAATGGATAAAGAAGAAAGTAGTACATTCTGCGTATACGCTACCTAAATTGCACGCTGAGATATTTTGCAGGATACTGCGTATAAGTTTAAACACGTTTCACATTTCACGTTCTCGCCACTTGCTTACCACGTAATTATCGTGTATGCGCTCGTTGGTTACATTACATATTACGCTCGTGTTATAGAAGAGATGTCAGGAAAATGAGGAGAAAATATAACAAACGGTTCAAGCGTTGGAATTATTAGTTACTTGGGAAAATTAACGAAAATGTGAATCAGGTATAGGCGAAATACATGGAGACTATTTTCATCATCATTACAGAGCGCGAATTTTCACAAAAATAACGATACTTTTCAATCACATCAGATAGATATGATCCGAAGTATTATTTAGATTACGACAATACTTCTGACTTTGAAGAAAAAAAGCGTCGTTCAAATCGCGAAACGTTTCGAGCGTGCTCTTTGGTGTACTCGAGAATTATCGTTCTTCGATAAACGAATGCACTGTCTCGTCACTCGTGACAGCGATAACTACAAAAGATGGAGTAGATGATAGATCACACAGAACACAACCATGCTCCTATCATGCAGTTAAAAATCTTTTCAATCGTGAGGCAACATCGAGCGTGCACACACACACACATATATTTTCATGCAAGTAAAACGATTTTTTTCTCTTATATGTAATAAATTAGAAATAATATCTCCTCACCCCTATATTGCGAATTTGTGTGATTTTTCGGCTTTTGCGATTTTTTCAGCAAGAAATATCACGAATAATATTAGATATAGAGTTTATAAGTAACTTATTTCGTAAACTAGTACAAGTGATAATAATTTAGTAACTTTGCAAATATAAAAATTCACGTATTTTGAACAAAGAAGAAAGCGCGATTTGAAACTTGCTCGTTTCACGGGAAAATTTTCACGAGAAAATAACGACGCGGCGTTAACGCGTGCAATTGGCTAGATCACGTCGTAGAAACGTGTTGTCGGGCTACGAGCGGAGCGTGCATAACAACAATACGTCTCGTAACCCGCGTTTCTACATACGTGAATTTGTATACCCGCATCTGTATAAACTGTTGCAGTGGCGAGTATCGAAGGCCCGGAGCTGGAAATAACACGCGTCACGCGTCTCCATATGGGACCGTATCTCTGCATAGCGTCCAACGGGGTGCCGCCGACAGTCAGCAAGCGGATCGTTCTCATTGTTCACTGTACGTAACTTCACTGTACGACCCTAGATTCCGCTTTACGACCGGCGTCAAGGAGGACCTTCATCAATGTGGCAAGCGCGGAACGTGGCGAAATAAAATATTGGCACGAATGGCTTTTCCTATCGCGACGTGAGAGAATGTATCGCGCATTTACCTGCGCGCATTTACCTGCGCGCGTAAAATATTTCTTCGTCCTCTCTAAGACGGAAACTTAAGAAGAATTATTGCGCGAAATTATTGAATTTTATCGTTATTCCCGTTAAAATCTGTCGTAAACTGATTTCAATATTCCAAGTATTTTACGAGGGAGAAACGCACGTGTAGCATCGTATTATTGCGATTTCCGTTTTGAAATGAACATTTTCAGCTGAAAAATCCAGTTATTCAGTTTCCGAGATGTGCTTTATTTTTTTCACGAATATACGCTTACCTGGGATACGCGAAATGCACGGCGAATATTTTATGCAACTTCGTTCTATCGCGATTCTTTCTTATGCGCGCCGCGCCTGCCACAAAATATAATTTAAATTGTCGTATTTGCGCGCGTGGTATGAGCGATCTCGCGTAATGACGCCTCTCGGGGTAGGCATGGTGAATAGCTGATCCCGAGGGCCATTGTTCCCCGAAACGGAGTTAAATCTTTCCCGCCGCTGGCTGCGTAATTTTACCACGTGATGTCACGAGTCGCTCACGACGACGAGGACGAATGACGTTTCTGGATTGATTAAAAAAAAATGAGAGCTTTCGTTTCGAGCGAACCTCTTCTAAAAATACGCGGCGGGACTGCTTTCGTAAGGTTTTGTATTAAACGTCAAATACATTATATCCTCTGGAATGAGTTTGAAAAGGATTTTCCTCGATGAACGTCTAATTACATCCTATTCTCTGCGCACTTCTCAGCTCCGTAGTTTGGAGCATCTTACTAGTTAACTCTCGAATTAAGATATTAGGTGAAGTTAACAGATAATAATCAGTCAGTTAGAAACTGCAGATGCTGATTTTTGTTTCCACATGGGAATAATTTGTTTTTCGTAACTCTTTATTTTAATGGTAGATTCGCGAAAATATTAGATACGCGTATATTGTAAGTTTTTTTTTCGCAAAAAGTGATCGGCAGTGCAACATTTCAATATTTTCAACGTTTCCGAATTTGATATATATATATATATATATATATATATATATATATATATATATATATATGTCATTAAGACGCATCATTTTGCTCAGTTCAGCCCATGGTTTTCATCGAGAATCAGTTGGTGGGTGCTTACGAAGGGCAAACTCTCACGTTGGAGTGTCGTAGCGAAGCGTACCCCAGACCTATTACTTATTGGACGAGGCCATCGAACGAGACCATTGCTAACGGTACGTAAACACACTTCTACTTCTCCTAACGAAACTCTCCACACTTTATTGATAAACTAAATTACCAGACACAGTCACCGCGAAAGAATCCCCGAGTGATATTCACCGCTTGTCTCCGTCGGGAAAGAGGAAAACAACGGGGATCTGTTTTTTCACTGATTTAAAAAAGAATTATTATTATAAGTCGCTCTTTTTTCGCGTGCGCGCACTGGGAGGTGCACGACGCGGCGCACGCACGAACAGCTGTAATGCGATTCGCCTTAATTACACCGCGCTAACGCGGCCGTTTCACTCTAATTGCTACCGTGCACCTTCGCGATACGCCACTGGGGTTAAGGGCAAGGGCAGCGGCATTAAAAGTTAAGACGTGTGCGTGCCGCGTAGTGTCGGGTCGCTAATCCGTGACAGCACCCTCGGTACAGGGGTGTGGGCGGCCTGCTAAAATTTCTTCCTTAAAGTGTTATAATGGTACGGTGCATTCGAATCAATTAAGAGCACGCGGCATTGTTTGCACGCGGGCACTGCTTTTTATCTACTGACGGAACTTTCTAGTCAGCTCTCTCGCTTAATTGACGTTTGATAGAAGTTCTCGACGACTCGGCGCGAATAAGCTCGGCGTCGAAATTTTTGTCGGTCTATCGCGAAGGGGAGATACACCCTCAACGTGCACGTGAACGCCCCTGCCGAGAATACGATAGCGCGCGAATACTTTGTCTTATATACGCACCGTGCACTTTTCCCTCATTTGTTTTTAATGGCGGTACAACTCCACGAGATTCATGAGAATTCTTACGACGACGGGCGTTCTACGCTTCATACATATGTATGCGCGTATCAATATAAGTATCCTTCCTCATTGGCTGTTGGTACGTTGATGGCAACGTTGCCTTCATTCGTTCAGTGTTTCGTTAGAACAGTACAATATTCATCAGTATTCTAAAGACGTTACACTCGCGAGGTTCGCTCTACTCAAAACGCCTAGATATTCACTGTCCAGCCAGTCGATTTTCAAATTAAATTCTTTCTAGGCAAACTGATAATATCTTGAAGAAATGATAAGCTAAAACGTCTAGTCAATATCATATCGGACTTATTTCCTGCCAACTACATGGACGTGTACACATCCAATTTTGTTATCGAAAATATTCCAATAAGATGCGCATACGATAAAACTCATTTTTCGACTCTACCGCGCCTTTATGCGCCTTTGAGCAATGTTTATTCATAAAATCGCGTATATTCATACGATCGACGGCGAATAAACTTTCGCGAAATAGTACGATATGGCGGGTAAAGCAACGTGCATCACTGCGCGAATGCACGCCGGTATACTTCCTCTAATGTTTCCGCACTGCCACACAGTGACTATAGCTTGAAATTAATAATATGAAGATCGACATATTCGTGTTATTTTCCATGTACTAAAACGAAAATGACATCAATAACACACGCTCAGTACTGTGCATGCTTTCCGGGTTTCATGATGTTTAAGCGGCTTGGTACATAAATACGAAGTTCATACAGACGTGCGCATCGATCCGGAATTTTCCGTTATTCCGGCTGACACGGAAGCTCGTCTAGTTAGCGTTACACCATCCACTGCAGTGAAACGAATTAGCTTTTTTTAACGAGAGACAAGTACATTCGTATGAAAAAGCCGATTCCGCGAGTTGAGTACTTTCGGGACTAGCAACTCTCCGAATCATTGACTTCGAGCGAGAAATACAAGTGCGATTTTAATCAAACGTACGCGCAGTGTGATTTTCATACGCGCATTGTTTCTATTTCGTAACTCATTTGTATTAATATATGTATATAATAAATGTATATAATGCAGCTTTGTATTAATATATGTATATAATAAACTAATATTTTATAAATTTTATAATGTAATATTATTTCATCGTGTCACTTAAAACAACGTAGTTCGCCGATAATGTGTGAAAGTGTGCGCGCATAGATCTGTAGGAGACAAACGATACTTGGTAAAAATGAAAAATATACTTCAATTAAATTGAAAATGCATACATGTGGAAAATATTTCACAGTTTCTAGCATTTCCTACAACAAAAAAACTGTGAAAGATCACTGTAAAAATGTCACTGGAATACTTAACTGGATGTTGTAAAGAGAAATTTTTATATTTTACGTGAGAAGAAACTGTTTTATATGAAAGATTTAATTCTATTCTTCTCTCTTCTAGGGAATATAATGAGTAAGAACTTGAATTATCGTGAGTGTTACGATTATACCTCGTTGATGTCAGGCTTTTGTTGGTTGTCTCAGTGACGATTTACAGAATGACGATTTATAGAGTATAAGGAAATAGATACAATGTCGATAGATATCGTAAAATCTCTGCGGAGACTGACAATTTCGATTCAGAGGATCGGAACCGTAATTTCGGGGACTTTATCGACGGCACATCATCATCTCAACGTATTTATCGCGCGTAATTTATGTGTCAATACTTTTGGGCATTTCAGACGAGAATTACAAGTTCGAATCAATCCCTAAAGGATACGAAATCACGATGAAGCTCATCATAAGGTCCGTACGAACGCAAGATTTTGGATCCTTTCGCTGCGTGGCAACCAACTCCCTCGGGGAGACCGATGGGAAGATAAAACTTTACAGTGAGTATATAACATTCACAAATTCATTCGTCTCTCTAAATTACATTTATTAGATATATGATATATATATATATATATATATATATATATATATATATATATATATATATATATATATAATGCCTCTTCAAACTGATATGACGCTTTGCATGCACGAGATGCTGAATATAAAATCATTTTCGAGGCATTTGTTATTTTTCAAGTTGCTCTTCAATAGCTTTGTCATATTATCCATTTTATTCCATTGTATCGAAAACTGTACGCACCGCATAGCTTATTTAATTTTCATGACTTGTGTATTATTTCAATATTCATGTCGCGCGTTGCGATATATAATTTTCTGATACAGGTAATTTACTGATAATTAAACATTATCTCACAAATTTCGCGCACAATTTCTCTTTGTCCTGCGCTTCGCGACTCTTTTCTCAGTGATGCTATGCTTAGGGAAGGCGATATTCGGCCACTTATATGAACAGAATTACATACGTATGGACAATATGAAATAAGTGGTATGCGTGTAATTTTGTAGATTATAAAAATTCAAAGCTAACATTTTCATTATATTTGCATTATTTCCAACAACATATCGGCTGATACGTACATATACAATTTAAATCAGTTTTATTTGTTACTGAAATGCACGTGATACGAAACGATCCCATTCAATTCGTTTCGCGAAAATATACGAAACTTATTGTAGCGAATAATATTGTAAATATGCACATACGGTGTGATATATGCAACGAATGAAAAAATCTGCTCTCTTGTGTACGATGTGTCTCTCAAATAACGTATAAATTAATTAAATAATACCGCACGCGTATATATGTTTCGATATGGCTGTTCCGGGGGCAGCGGAACATCACGTTCCGGAATTAAACTAGCGGGCGCGATTCTTAAGCGGATAACTTATCGGTTTATCGCCGATCGATATACCTCCTCGACGTAATTGCCCCAATCTCAGTGTACCAATGCACCTCGTCCCTCGCTTCACGGCGCCATCGCTAGATTTCATCATCGTTCCGTGCATATAAACTTTGGAAGCTAAACGTCTCCCTTCTTATTATCTTGCCCTCCCTCCCCCCCCGTGAAACTTCGTTCGTCTTTTCGCGTTGATGGGATAAAAAGAGAGGCAATCTCGCGGGACGTGAAAGATGTTGCTGCTCATTAGCTAACGACATTAGTAGCCTCGCTGTTTCTTCTCGTACAACGGAGAACACGACAGCTGCCCTCACGAGAACTTGCGAGTTTCTCGCAGGTGAATTGGTTGCACTGCGGATCGTGCCACGTCGAGCCTCGCTGCGTCACGTCATGTCATGTCATCTTCGTGTCACCACGTCAAGCGTCCGTCCAGCTCGTCGTCATTATATTTCATTGGGTCTCTCGCGCGAGATTCAAGTGGCAAGCACACCAAACCGCGTAAAGCACGACCCGTCCGTTCCGTTCGACCCCGCTGATGTTAATTGATCGCCTCTCCAATTAGAGTGTCGACGCAGGGGAAGAGGGAGGGACGGGTAACGAGGAACGACGGACGCGGTAAGGGAAGCGGTCTCCGCTCAAAGAGAGTGAGAGAGAGAGAGATGGATGGACAGTAAGAGACAGAGATAGAGACAGAGACAGAGACAGAGATAGAGATAGAGATAGAGATAGAGATAGAGATAGAGATAGAGATAGAGACAGAGACAGAGACAGAGACAGAGACAGAGACAGAGACAGAGACAGAGACAGAGACAGAGACAGAGACAGAGAGAGAGA